AGGGACTGCCGAAATACGATAAGGGGCTGCTGTCAGCCCCACTCAGGGAGGAAGGAGGGACTGATGGCTTTGAAGGGGTGCAGATAAGAAGTGGCCCCCTGTCAAATAGAGCATGATTGATTACCCTCTATCCTGGCTCCCGCTTGGATAGGAGTGTCTAATGGGCTGCAGGCTCCAGATCAGGTAGTGACATTCCTGTTGGGAGGTGGGAATGCCGTGGCTGGAGAGGCAGGAGATCAGCTGTGTGGCACAGCGGGGAGGAGGGAGGTGCTTTCCCTTCTGGATCCCTTTGCTTTTCACTGTAACGCTGAGTGAGCCAAACCAACAAATAAAACTCGGGCAGCATGGGTGGCTGAAGCCCCAGCTTTGCCTGAAGCCAGCCAGGATTTGTCCTTGGAGAGGTATTCGAGCAAACCAGGAGCTGAGGCAGTGCAGGGTTCAAGTTGATTTGCTCGTGTTCATCGCTGTAGAAGCTGAATTTTCCCTCTGTTTAGCCTGGGAGATCTTGGACACCAAGTAATTACTCTGCCTCCCTTCAAAGAAACATGAAGTTCTCATCAAGACTTGGTTCAATATTATTTTAAACCGTTGTAGGCTTTTCCAGTTTCCCAGGGAAAACTGTTCCTTTTGGCTATCTGATATTGTTTCTCTTTTGAACATATTTAGAGTGGGAAGAACAGCTTTCTCTTTACCTGTTACAAGTTGTGGCTTAAAAACGCTCTTTCTATGCCTGTTTTTCAATCCAGAACACGTTTTATTGCAATTTAAATGTTGCTCTGCAGAATAGACATTTGGGATTCTTACCCCCTTTGTTCCTTACTATATAATGGATGCTTCTGGAGGTAAATTGGACAGGAAAAGTGGGAGGTGATGGGAAAAGCAGTGCTACAGGATGGATGTAATTAAGTGTTCTTTGTCTCCTACATGCAGGACAAGTCATGGCTTAGGCTGCTTGATGGTGGGGAAATCCCTGCAGTGGGCAGAGTAGCCCTTGGAAGGGAATCTCCATCATGGAGGAGTTGGAAAGCCAAGCAAATCCCTGAAAAATTAGGAGGGGACTCATTTCCTATAATTTGGTTAAAAACAGGCTCTGGGGCAGTTTTCAGCAGTCTGCATCTTCAGGTTGAGATCTAACTCTGAAGTCTGGCTAGGAGAGGATGAGGAACAGGAAAACAAACCCCCTTAGGCAGCGTGGTTGGGTGGGTGAGGAAGATGATGGTCCAAAGTTTAGTCCCTCAGCCAGGGACAGCTGAGTGAGGGAGCAGAGCCTGCATATGCCAATGGCTTGGCCAAACCCCCTTCCCCAGGAGCTGGTTCATAGGTGTAAAGCCAGCCATTCCAAGGTTTTCTAGGGTTCACAGCTTCCTCAGCCGCTCAAATAGCTTTTGAAGAGTGGAAATCAAACAGTTGCTGCCTCTCCAGAGCAGGGGACATAGGGGGGACATTGAGGCCTCTCCAGATAAGCCCTCGAGGCTTCTCTCCCATCTGGCTGGAACAGAAGAGGCTTTTGAAGGGGTGAAATTCCCTTGAAGGGCAGAGATGTTTATAGCTACAGTCAGCCTTCCTCCAGGGAAACTCTTTATTCCAGAAATCTGAATTGTAGCTACAGCTGTCTTTCTCCTCAGAAAACCAGGAGCCTGTGGGCTATGGGATGACTTCCCTTCCAGAGTTTGCCTGCCCTAGAGTTCATCTTCCTGAGGTCTCCCATCAACTCTGCATCTTCCCTTTTTGCAGTGGAAAAAGGCTCCTTGTGCCCCCTGTTTGACTGATTCCTTGCAGGAATGAGCCAAGTTACATAGCTGGGGTTATATGAAAAGGAAGAAACGTTTGTTTTCCAAGAAAACTCTGAGAGGAACCAGTCACCTTCCTCTCCCTCCTGAAGTCAGGCAAGGCTTCAGGCATACAGAATTTCTGAGAGCTGGCAGGAGAGGGAGGCTTGGAAAGTACAGTAAAATGAGTTTGCCATCAAAAGGCAACAAGTCTTATGCTGTGCCCCCGGCTGCTGACCTTTCCCTCTGGAATTCTCCCCTCTGACCTCCGGATCATTAATCCTGATGCTGCCAGATGACAGTAATCCATCATGGCCCCTGACAAGCCTTGCAGCCGCCTGTGAAAGGATCCGCTCGGCTTCAGCATCCAATCGTCCCATGATACTCGTTTTTCAGCCTTTCCTGTTGGAGCAGTGGGGGTTTCCAATAAAGACTTTATCGCCTCGGCTTTCCTCAGAGAGGGCTGGGGGAGGAGAGATCCGAGGAAACACTCAGCCACGGCTTGCTCTGGAAAATACAGAGAATTTACCAGGGCCAAACCCAAAATCATTCTCTGCCTGGTCTGGGCCATGGTACTTGGAGTAGTGCTGCAGGAAAGGATGGAAAGGAAGTTATTCCATCTGCATGCTCGAGTGGAAGAAGGATGGATGTAGTTTTGTCCCTGCAGTAGTTTCTCTTCTGTATAAGGAAATTTTATGGGCGGAAAACAAACCGGAGGTTTTCTCTTAGTTGATAATTTTATATTCCATTTATAAACATGTTTAGCTTAAATTTATGTCTCTATATAAATATCTATTAGGGGAGTTTATATTTAGTTTACAAATGAAATCTCAGGACACTTTGGCCTTGTTTAAAAGCAAACCTGAGGAAGGGAAGGTGTCCAAGGTGGGGGGAGGTCAGATCTCAGTGCTGTTCCTGCTCCAGCTGGAGCGGTCTCCTTGGAAATGTTTAAGCCTTTATTTTCCACTGGTGTAGATGATGTTTGTGCCTTTCACAGGAGCATTTGGATAAATATACTTTGTGTGTTTTTCCAACTGCTGAGCTGGGGGAGTCTGGAGAAGAGCAAAGGTGTGTTTGGGATGAATGCAGTATATTAAAAAGTGGATATTTCTTAATACTTCTGTATTAGCAGCTTGTTCGCCTGAGGAGCTTTATCCATGACCTTCCCTTTCACTCTCCATCTGGTCAGTGTCCAAGGAGAGCTGGATGAAAGTCCCTTCTGTACAAGTTAATGCTATCCCCTAAATTGGATTGGGGAAAAGTGGGTGGCTTTGAGGGTGGCACCAAGTTGCTGGAGGAGCAGGGGGGGGAAAGGGGCTTGATCCTGCCCCAGCGGAGTGAAGGCTTTGCACCTTTAATTAATTCACAAGGGGCCATTTTGGGGGTGTAAAAGCCAAGCCTGGCTCCTCCTAGAGACCTCAGAGAGAGAAGTAATTCCCTGTTTTCCCGTTGGGTGTGACTGCGGTTGCTGGGGCTCAGCTGATGAGGGATAACTTGGGGCCGGTAACGTGATCATTCCCAGTGCACCGCCGGTCCCCCGGGGCTGTTACTGGGCTCCTCATCTGCACTGACGCTCCGAGGCAAAATGGAGGCTCGGCAGAGAACGGGGCTAATCGAGGCTTTTCGGGCTGGCCAGCCAGGATGGATGGAGCCACGGAGCGTTCAGAGGGTTTGGAAACATCTCCAGCTCTATTCCCCCCCCGGGAGCGGTCACCTCTGAAGCGCAAGAAGAGGATCTGCTGCAGCTTGTGGAATTGCTGCTTTGTGGACTTTCTGCTGCAGGCAGGGAAAGGGTTGTTTGGACAAGGCAAGGAGAAGAGGATGTGATAAATACAAAGTGATATGAATCTGATCAGGTGCTCCTGATGTTTGCTTGCACTTTAAGAGTTATAACTTAGCGGGATTTTCAGCCCTTTAAAGTGAAAACGTTTGACTGTTTTATCTGCCATCTCGTTAACGTGTGGGAATTGGCACCATGAGCTAATGCCTAACAGGCTTCCAAAAGAAAAGAGAAGGGGAAAAAAAAATTCCACTTGGATGTATAATGAGGACATCTGCAGAGCTGAGCTCCTTTTGACTGAGCAGAATAAAACCCATTTATAAGGGCCATAAACCCCTCTGCTCCGGGGCGTTAAGCGAATCGCTGGCTGAGGAGCAGTGGCACGAGCCTCCCCCGTGGATTGGGCATTCCATGATTGTCCATTACAGCCCTTCCCAGGCTTTCCTGTAAAGGCTGGCGCTGACCATTGTGGGAGACAGGATACTGACCTCAGATGGATGGCTCTTTGATCCGGGACAGTATTTCCTAGGCAAAATAAAAGGGTTGCTGCATCAGCTTTTTTTTTCCCCCCTTCTTCCTCTTCGTGCCTAAATCTCATTAATTTGACTTTTAGCATTTTGAGGAGCTGCTAAAGGGGCACTAGCAGGTTAAAAATCAGATTTTCTTTTCTGTTAACCCAAAAGATGACAAAACTGAACAGGAAGGATAGAGATGGTTCCCTGTCTGCCCTCAGAAGGACAGAACAAGACCTTGGTTTGGGCTCCAATGGTTGGTGCTCCTCACAGCTGCTATGTGGCCTCATCAAGGAGTTATTTGGCAGCATGTTCAGGGAAAAGGAGAGTAGGAGGATGAAAACACAGTGTGAGCAGTGGAAAGAGCAGCCCTTCATTTACCTGTCAAGGCTGTAGCAAAAGGTTGTGCATGTGACTGTGAGGGGGGAATGGATATGAGTGGGAGAGAGATGCTCTCTAGTATCATTTATCCCTTTATTTTGCTGTTCCCAAGCAATACAGAACAGAGATCCTGGGGAACAAGGGAGCTGAACCCCAACATAGTTGCCTGGCTGCTCAGCGCCTTCCTGAGCACAGCCAATACAGGTTTTTATCTGAGATTGCCCTGAGCTCATAAAACTGATTCCTCTGTGCCTCATCCCCAGGACTGAATAGTCCCAACTTCCCCTCTTTCTATTTTAGAAGTTGCTCGTTGCTGTGGGTTATTATTGGTCTGATAATTGCTTCTGCCCACAGGAAAGGATCTTTCATGGAAAGGATGTGCCACGTAGCTGCACTTCTCTGCCTCATTTACTCGCTCATGCAGAGACCTCAAGCCAGGCTGCAAACAGAGCTCCTGAATTTCCTATTAGAAGGAAGATCAATAGCCCCAGCCTGCCAGTTTTCCTGGCCTCCTTTTCTCCCTGACTCCATGCTCCCTTCCCTGCTGTTTCCCTGCAGGAACTCCCATCAATCGGATCCCCATCATGGCAAAGCAGATCCTGGATCTCTACATGCTCTACAAGCTGGTGACCGAAAAGGGAGGGCTGGTGGAAATCATCAACAAGAAGATCTGGCGGGAGATCACCAAAGGCCTTAATCTGCCCACCTCCATCACCAGTGCCGCGTTCACCCTGCGGACACAGTAAGTGGGAAGGGCTGACAGCAGGGATGGCCTGGGCAGCACCAGGGGCTGGGCTCCTGGATGTGGATCCAGTCCCCCTTTTTTTGCCTCTTCAGAGTTTTCAACTCCTCGGGGCATGGAGGGTCTTTTCTGTCTCCAAAGAGCACTTGGCACAGGGAGGAAGGAGAGAGGGAGACAGACCTCCTGATTTTGGGCATCAAGTATGAGCCTGATCGTTTCATGTCCGTTAGCACGGGAAACTTGGAATTTAGCAGCTCCTCACTGTGAAGATTGCTTTTCTGACCTGCAGTACTCGATTAGGGAAGAAAGAAAGGAAGAAAAAGTGGAATAAGCAGCAGAAAAAGAACTGTGAAAGTAAAATGCCTGTAAAATTATGCAACAGGGCAAAGCTGTGGTTTAGGTGTGAAAGGCTGGGCTCTGAGAATGTGCTCCCAGCTCTTACGGTTTTCTTGGGAGTTATTAGAAACCCCTGAGTCCCACAGAGGGAAGCTTTTGCCATTTCCTCAGCCTTTGATACAGCAAGCTGTTCCTGCAAACCTGTGTGCTAAAGTGATAAGGTTTGGTTGCTGCCCAGCACAAATGACTTGAACAAGGGCAATTCCTCAAACTTCCTTCCTTGAATTACGTGCTGTGGTCTGGGATCTTTGTTCTTAGAGTTTTAGATTCCCGGTTGTAAAGAACTTAGGGGTTGATTCTTAGATAGTGTTATAGTTGTGAAGAAGTTCTGGATGACTCTTTTCTGCCCTTGGGGGTGTAGTGATAAATATTCTTGTGTTTTCCTACGAACATTGAGTGAATTCAGGGTTTGAGCTTTGCTTCACTCACAGAGTGCCCAATGCTTATCACAGCAGTGCTCATGATCCGCAGAGAACCTCAGGCTGAGAGTCTTCCTGCCCGCAGTGCGTGTTTCTGTAGCCTGTAATTCCATGTTCTGCTGAGCACCTGCTGGAGTTTCCCTGTGCTTCCCTCTCCCCAGGTACATGAAGTACCTCTATGCCTACGAGTGTGAGAAGAAGTCCCTGAGCTCGCCGGCGGAGCTCCAGGCTGCCATCGATGGGAACCGGCGGGAGGGCCGGCGGCCCAGCTACAGCTCCTCCTTGTTCAGCTACTCACCCACCACCACGGGGCCTCCCTCCCTCCTGTCTCCCCCCAAAATCCGCTTCCCCATCATCGGCGTGGCACCAGGCAGCGGGACCAGCAACCCTCGGGTGTCTCCAGCAGCAGCGATCAGAAAAGGTCAGCTATTCTTACTTGCAGTTGGAGGCACTGGAACACAGTTATCGTGGAACTGTAGAATCAACCGGGTTGGAAAAGACCTCCAAGGTCATCAAATCCAACCCCACTGTGGTTACCAGACCACGGCACTGATGCCACGTCCAGTCTGTCCTTAAACACCTCCAGGGATGGTGAATCCACCCCCTCCCTGGGCAGCCCATTCCAATGGCTGATCTCTCTGTAAAGAATTTCTTAATGTCCATCCTAAACCTCCCCTGGCACAGCTTAAGACCCTCTTGTCCTACTGCTGGTTCCTGGAAGAAGAGACTGACCTCCACCTGGCTACAGCCTCCTCTCAGGGAGTTGTAGAGAGTGATGAGGTCTCCCCTGAGCCTCCTCTTTTCCAGGCTCAACAACCCCAGCTCCCTCAGCCTCTCCTCAAAGAACTTGTGCTCCAGTCACTTCACCAGCCTGGTTGCTCTTCTCTGGACCTGCTCCAGCACCTCAATATCCTTCCTGAACTGAGGGGTTTCCATTTTATCCATCCAGACTGCTTTGGATTTCGGATTAGTAGGATCTGGGTGGCTCAAAATGGCCTACCTGTGGTTTAAACCCTTGCATGAGAGACTAAGTGACTCTCTCCTCCTTTTCCAGGTGATGGAGTGCCCTTGACCGTGTCTATGCCAAATCGTATTGCTGTGCCAGTGACCTTGAGCAGCCAGCAGGCAACTGTGGCAGCAAGAACAGCCACCCTGGAGCAGCTGAGGGAGAGGCTGGAGTCGGGAGAGCCTCCGGAGAAGAAGGTCTCGCGGACGAGCGAGGAGGAGCAGCGGCTTGTCCAGCAGGCTCTGCAGCGCAACCTGTTCAGCATGGCACGGCAGATCCCCATGAAGATCAAAATCAACGGCAAGGGTGAGCAGCAGAGACAAAACACAGGCAAAAAAGCCCTTGAAAACTGCAGCAGGGAGGGGAACGCTCCCAGTCTGGAATGACAAACACACAGGCTGGGTTATCTCTCAGGGTCCCAGGCAGAGGCCACGTCAAGAAGGTGTTAAAATGGAGTGCAACAACGGCAAAGCTGAAGCGTGGCAATGTTTTGAGCTTTACTGCTGGTTGTATTATCCAGCCTCATCTGAATCCAGCATGGATTCAGAGGGACCTTTGCCGTGTTCACAAAGCTCTGCACTCAAGCTGATCAAGCCCACCTGACCCACCCAACGAGACCCTTTCTCCAAGCTGTGTCCAGCACAGCGAGGTAGCTGCAGGGCTCAGGCTCTTCCACCCCCATAGAACTTGTACCCTGTTACTTGACCGTGGAAGTAACAGCTTGGTACAGGTCTCCAGCTGCAGGAGACTGGGAGAGAGATGCCCAGCTTTTAGGAATCCTCTCCCAGGTGGGGTGAGGAGGCCATAAAGACCTGCGCATCCCAGGGCTTTTAGCAAGGCAGGTGATTTCTGCCCACATCTGCACAGCCTTGGGGCAAAGAACTGCTGGCAAGGCTGGGTTAGGAGGTCACATCCAAGCAGAATTCATGGCCTGGGAAATGCTCTCCTGAAATGCTTTGGAAAAGGGGACTCACCCTGGAAAGGTCACTCATTGCAATCAGTACTGTGATAGAGTAGCTTCAAAAGTTGATTAATGCTCTGGCTCCCTTACCTGTCCCGAGGCTGCACCTTACCAGGCAAGCAAAGCCTCAGTCCCAACAGCTGCTCCTTCCAAACCTTTTGATCCATTAAAATTAAAGGCCTCAGCTCCCTATTAATTGCATATTTGGATGGAGGCACAAGGCCAGGCAAGTTTGGCATGGCTTAGAAGAAAGGGAAGAGGTGTTCTTGTTTTAGCAGTGCTGGTCAGTGCTTTTTTGGGATGCTTTGCCAGAAATAGAGATGGAAAAGGGTCAAAGTAGATTCCTCTGAAGCAGCAGCAGCTGGGATTGGGACTTCACAGTTCCTGTCAGCTGTGCATCCACCTAAATTTCACATCAAAACTAAAATAGTGAGTAAAAAGGAATACAAATGTTATCAGGTAATGTTCATTCCCCCTGAACTTCCTAAATCAAAACGCAGGGAACCATTTTAGTCCTTACAAACAGTAACAGGCTGAGCCCTGAGGATTCAGGGATAGTATTCCCACCTTTGTGAGCTGACTGCGGGCAAGGCTGTCCTATCTTTCATGCCCTAATTTTCCCAAGGGCACAATCAAAATCATAATGTGCTTTGAGAGGTGCTTTTGATAAGCACAGCACGAGCTTATCCTGGCTTGATAACAACATTTAAGTTAAGCCTTAACGAGGAGGAGTTTTTAGGGGGGTGGTGGCCTTGCTCTCTTCCACAGAGGAGCAATTCCATAATCCAGGCACACCATTATGGAGTGCTTAGGTTGGAGATTCAGAAGCTTCTGGAAGAGTTTGACATTCAGCTCCCCTCAAACATCCCTGCAAACTCAACCCCTGCCCTGCACTGGTACTTCCAGAGCTGCCCATCACCCTGCAGACTGAGGATATAGGAAAAGATCCCCAGATTTCAGGCTGAGTGGAGTGTTTCCTGGGTTTTCCCCTCCCTCCAGTGGCCGCTGGAGCTGCTGCAGTCTAAGCACACCAAGTCACAGCAGCTCCCTGAGGAGCTGAGCACTAGGCCTGTGCTCCCAACAAGGGCCACAATCCAGCTGGTTTAAATATGATCTCGTCTCATGTGCTCCCAGCTCTTTTTTGGGACGGGAACATCAATTTGGCCTTCAGGGAAAGATTTCCAAATGCCCGTGGGCTCCCAGCCTCCCCCCAGCTCACGCCAAAGCACTTACACACCTTTGTAGCCTTATCAGAGAATCCCAGACTGGTTTGGGTTGGGAGGGACATTAAAGCTCATCTCATTCCACCCCCTGCCATGGGCAGGGACACCTTCCACTATCCCAGGTTGCTCCAAGCCCCGTCCAACCTGGCCTTGGACACTTCCAGGGATGGGGCAGCCACAGCTTCCCTGGGCAACAGACATAATAGAACGTGGACATCATCTGGGGCCTTCCTCTCCAATGAGGGGACAAAAGGAGGGCTGTGTTTACCTCTGGGGAGCTCAGGGAACAAGATAGTCACTCTCTAACTCTGCATCTCTTCTTTCCTGGAAGAAGACAAGCCCGACTCGGCGGCAGCACTGAACTTGTCACCCAACGGCATCGGGAGCATTAACATGTCGGTGGAGATCAACGGCACCACTTACGCTGGTGAGAAAGGGGAGAGCCAAGCTGGGGGGAGCAGAGTGGGAAGTGGAGGGGGTCATGGGTTCCCAAGGGCTGGGCTTTGCCAGACTGGGATCTGTCTGGATCAGAAGGCACAGGAGGAGGTGATTTCTGTTCTCTTATTTGGGCCTGGCCAGGATGAGCGCCCTTCCCTTGTTGTTAGTATTTTTAAAATGAAAAGGAAGGGTCTTCTGTGAAAGCGTTAATAGGAAAGAGTATTATCCCCCTTCTCCTGATGAGGTGCTTTACTCAGCATTTCCTCACACATATCTGGCAAGCAGGAATTGTCCCCTGTACTCTGCTTGAGCAGTTTCGCTTCTGCAGGTCACACCTGCACATCCTTGGGCAAATCCCAAGTGGGAGGCCTGGCTCTGACATGCAATGGAAGTTGCTTCTCTCCTCCAAAAGCGTAGAAGACGTTTGGGATCTGTTTTCTGTAAGGATGACATCCCTGTGACAGGCTGCCAGACCAAGGGATCCCTTCCCTGCTTAGCATTGAATTCTGGTCTGGCTCCAAACCTTTTTGTTGTGCCCTGAGCCTCTCTCTCTTGGGATGGGGTCTTGGGGACTGGATAGCTTTCCCTTTGCTCTGTGTCCTGCCCTTCCCACTCCATCACCCTCCTCTCTGCCTCCCAGGAGTGCTCTTTGCCCAGAAACCCGTGGTCCACCTCCTCGCCGGCTCCAGCACCCACAGCTCCTGCAGCAGCAGCAGCAGCAGCTCCCACTGCTCTCCCAGCCCTACCTCATCCCGAGGAACGCCCAGCGCGGAGCCCTCCACCAGCTGGTCTCTCTGATGGGCGGCCCCATTCCCTGTCTCACACTGGCCTCTGGCTCCCGGAGCGAGCCGGGAGGGAGTCGCACAGATACCTCATCTCAAGGAACCTGCTTTTGTGGTTGGCCAGCAGCAAGATGATGATGATGATGATGATGATGATGATGATGAAACCTTTCCATGCCAGCGAGTTTTTCTTCATCATCTCTTGGTCCAGCCTTTTTTCTTTGTTCTCCCCCTTTCTTCCTCCCTTTTGCTCTTTGTTTTCTTTTTTTCTCCTCCTCCTCCTCCTCCCAGGGTTTGCTGTGTTCCTGTCGGGGGTGGGACATGGAGGGGGGGCACGCCTGGCGTTTTTCAATCAGGGATGGGCTCTAGGAGCTGCGGGTTGAGACACGGCTGAGACGTCACCAAGGCAGGTGGAAATAGCTGGAGTTGGGGCAGGGAAACTTGGTTCTCCTTGGGCCAGGAACCACGAGGACTCTTCCCACCAACCAACTCCTTGTTTTGACAATCCTAAGAGCCGGAAGGGTGCCTTGCCCTGTCCTCCCTTGTGCTGCAGAACAGGCAAAACTGCTTGTTTCCTTCCTGCTGTGTCCTCACAGGAGGCTTGTGAGCCTCCTTCCCCTTCTCCACGGTTTTGGCATGAGGGGAAGGACTTCCTCCCTCCCTGCCGCATTCAAACCCTCCCCATCAGCTGCTTGGTTCTTGCCGGTGCTGCCTGATTCCCCCCCTGTTGCCTTCAGGCTTTCAGAAGTTTTAAATGCCCTTGACCTTGCCTGTCTCCTGTGAGGAATTCATCCCTCTAACCTTTACCCTGACAGCCTGAGCTTGTTGTTTGGGTCCTGTGATCCTCTGCCCCCGTGACACTGTCACTTGGGTTGATGCAGGCTTTCCTGAGATCAGCCGTCTCAATTCTGCCTCTTGAGGTGGCTTCCAGTACCTCTGGAAGCTGAAGAAGTAGGAGGTCATCTCTGAAATCCATCTCCATCTCGTGGGGGCCACAGCGTGTGAGTGGGTGCTGTGGTTGATGTTACACACGTGGGGTTTTGTCCCTGAAGAAACCCAGCAGCCCAGGCCCCATCAAGCTGCACCGGAGCGGTGGGCACCTTTTGCTCTCCGGGGGAAAGTGGAGAACAGGAAATCAGACCCTTCCTTGCCCTTTCCCCTCAGACCTCCAGCTGGAAGCAGAGCTGGCCCTGACTCCGTAAATCAGCTCCTGTTCAGGTGGCCTCGTGCTGTCCCCCTCTCCTTCTTCTGGCCTTTCCCCAGCCTGGAGAGGTGATCCAAGCTCCATCCCTCCTGCCCTGGTGACGTCCTTCCCATGCTCCAGGCCCAAGTCAGGTTTTTTGAGCAGACGAAATACCTCAAGATATGTACTTGTTGTTGGGTTGGTTTTGTTGGTTTTGGGTTGTTTTTTTAACCTCTTCAGGAAGTATTGGCATATCTTATTGCTTGGTTTTTTAATATGTGGGTTTGCTGACATTGTGTTTGTTTGGTTGTTGTTTTGGTTTTTGTTGGTTGTTTTTTTTTTTTTTTTTTAACTTTTAAATGTATCACCAAAGACAGAAAGTTAAACAAGGCTGAGCAAAGCAGCAGTGGTTTCCCCATTCTTTAGGCCAGCAGGAGCCAAGCTCCAGCATCATCCCAGGACATGTGCATGACAGGAGGACAGGTAGAGGCAGGAGAAGAGGGCAGGAGTGATGCTCACTTAGATTTGTCCTTCATCTTGGACACAAGGGTGTCTCCAAAGTCCCACTGATTTTTGACAAGCTCCAGGATCTGTGCCTATGTTGGTTATCCTGCTACATTCTCACATCCTGAGGACTGTTTGGGAGCCAGAGGGTGGGAATGCACGTCCTCAGATGGATGCTGCTCCAAGATGTCCCATAGAGCTGCTTTTAGCTGGAGTAGTGCCCACCCTCTGGGCGTGGGGAAGCTGGGCTGATCTCGCAGGCCTCCATGGCATTTCATCCTCGCAAACTCCCAGAGGTTTTTCCAGACTCTGTGGCTCAATGAGATTATTTTTTTCCCCCTTTTTTTGTTTTCTTTTGGTTGTTGGGTTTTTTTATTTTATTTTATTTGGGGATGGGGTTGGGGATGTTTCCTCTGAGTGGGACTGGGGCACTTTTTGCTTTTCCTTCTGCTTTGCTCTCTGGCCCTGGGGAGCAGAGGTGGGTCCGGGGTGGATTCTGTCTCACACGCTAACGTTGTGTTTTCTTGCACAGAAAGGCACTCGAATCACTGAACTGCTTTGACACTACTAGAGTATTAATGTTTATAAGCTTTACTCAACCTAGACTGGAACTAGCCAGGACTAACAGATTGTTTTGTATCCAATTCAGGGAAAGAATCAGGTCGGGATGCGTAACAGATACCTCAGTTAAATAAGCTGCAACAATAAACTGGTCCTTTCTCAGTCCAGTGTGACAAGGACCATTCAGACTGTGAAGAGTTAACCCTTTCCTCTAAGCCTGGCTTTGATCCTGGCAGTCTGAGCTCCAGATCTCCTACTGAGCTGCCAGGCTTTGGGGACAGGGTTATGGAAACCAGCAGCAGAGCCGGTAAAGGCTGAGTGAGGGTGGTGGATCCCCCCTCTCTGCTCCATTTCATCGATTGTGTAGTACTCAGGGTTTGATACTGCGAGTAGGACTGTTCCTGTGTGAAGTGCTCCGCTTTGCAGTGTTGCTCCATCCTCTCCCAACTCCACACCAGCCAAGGTTTTGCAGCGAGCAGCCAAAAAAAAAAAAAAAAAAAAAAAAAAAAAAAAAAAAAAAAAAAAAAAAAAAAAAAAAAAAAAAAAAAAAAAACAAAAAACAGCCCCCAGCTTGCTCCAGTGCAGCCTCCACGTTCTTGTTTTCAGGGGGAGATTTGCCAGCTGGGAAAACCAAACCAAACCTGCTTCAGGCAGCTCTCAGTTGATGCTGGGAAGGCACAAAAATTGGGACAAGGGGGAGAGGCTGTGTGTGCCTGCTCGGCTCCCAAAGTGAATGCGAACGTGTCACACCAAGTCCTTTTGGCCACTGCACGTGCGTGCGTGCGTGCGTGTGTGTGTGTGTGTGCTCCAAAGGGATTGGGATCAGATGTTCTCTCCAAACAGCTGCAGCAGCCTTGCTACTAGTTTTCTTACCTATTTAAAAAAAAAATAATAAAATAAGTAAATAAAAACAAATGTGATAGCCTAGGCGGTGGATAAATACCTCAACGTCTCCTTCCAACAAGTGTCTGTATATGTTGTTGTTGGGTTTTTTCTATCTTACAGGTTATCTGAATGTTTATATTCCAATAAACTTCTACCTCTTCACACTGTGACTCTCAAGTCTTTTCTGTGCCCCTGGCTGTCTCCCTGAATTTAAAGATTTCCCTTTTTTCATCCCGGGAAATTATTCCTAGAGGCTGTGTCAGCCTAGCTGAGGTTTGGATCCTTGCAGGGGCTTTGGGTTCCCAGTTTGGAGCTGGGCTGGTGGGATGTTTTTAGGGATGGTGGCTAGGAATGAACTGGCCCCCTGTGGGCTGGAATGATGGAGCTTCCAGGTTGAATGTTGATAGAAACCATATGAGATCTCCTTTCTCAGGTGTTGCTGAAGCTGCTGTACCTGTCCCATGTCCCTTACCCAGGCTGGGGCAGGAGCCTGTCTCCCAAATCCTCCTCTGTCATCACCACCTCCCCACAAAAATGACATTTAATGCTTCTCACCAGTTTTGCTGTTTGCACAGCACCTGGACGCTGTTTTTCCAGTCATCAAACCAGTTTGGCAGTGGGAGAGGAGCTGGTTTTCCAGTCCCTTTTGTATCAGCCTTTCCAGTGCCCCATATCTGCAGTTGTTTTGACTGGGGTCCTCTTTGTGTCCGCTGGGTGTTGGAAAGGGGATGGAGCCCACGACCTTCCTCATTCTCCCACCAAACTCATCTAATGGAGCCTGCCCCCTCCATCAGCACCTGGCTGCAGGTGAGCCCCACACAGCAGTAAGAGCGGGCTGGCCTCACCTGGGCTCTCGTCCCAGCCTATCCAAGCAGCAGGCAGATGAAGGCAGAGCCTTTCCCCCCACCTTCCCTCCCCTCCTGCCTACCACTGGGTTTGGCTTTTCCCAGCTTTCCCTGCGTGAATGCGGCTGAGACAGCTCAAGGACTCACCTGCCCTCAACCTCTCTCCCTGCAAGCCCGATGCCTGAGGCAGGTAAGGTGGGTTCTGCCAATAGCAGGGGTAAAAGTACTCTCGGTGTGTGTTGCCGTGGGGTTTAGCCACCTGCAGCCTTAGGATCAGAGTGGGGAAGGTGTTGGGCTGGAGAGAGCTCTTCCCTGGATCCAGGGGTGCTCAGACACCGAGGCTCAGGTGACAAGGGGACTCCGTGGTGGTCACCACAGTCCAGGATAGCTCTGCAGCCCAGGGACAGCCCTGCAGTCCCTTGGTGCAGCACATCCATGCACAGGATCCTTCGGCTCAGCTGTCCCAGCTCCCCAAAGTGGGCACCCCAGGGGGTCTGATGCACCTTCCCGTTCCCCCAGCCCTGCAGACCCGCCTGTGTGGGTACGCCCGGGGTGGGCACACTCCGGCCCCCCCGACTCGCTGTCCTGGGGCGGGACAGCCGCAGGCATCGGCAGGCGTTGTTTGGACTGGAATATAATCCTTCAGGAAAGTTTACATCCCAGCCCCCTTCCCTCCATCCCTCCCTAAATGCCGCCATTCAGCGCTCATCCCATCCACAACCTGGCTTCCTGAACAATCAACAAAGGGCTGAGGAGAGCCCAGCGCGGATTAAGGCACCTGGGGAGTGAAGCCCAGCCCAGTGGGGTGAGACAATGCCTGCTTTTCTCCTTCAAACGTCCCCATTGCTTAATGGAACCCGGCTCAGGCTCTGGCACAGCTTTGTCCAGGTCCTGGTCTGGCTTAACCCCTCCCTCCAGGGCTGGAGGCGAAGCCAGCTCTGGGCACAGGGAGGTTTTGTCCCAGCGCAACTACGCAGATACCACCTCTGAAACTCACCTTTCCTAAGGAACTTTAGCTCTGATGTCCAGGAGTTTGGTTCCCTGCTCCCTAAATGCCCAATGTGCAGGGATGCCACCCTTTCAGGGAGGCTGCAAACCCCACAGGCATCCCTGTTGGGAGGGATAAAGCCCAGCTCACCACCTGCAGAACCTCAGTCCTCTGGGCACAGCTGGGCGAGGAGGTTCTCCCCTTTCAGGGCCAGGCTTGGGTGTCTCACACCTCTGCTACTTTGAATGCAGCCTGGGCACCCCAAATCCTCCCTTGCAGGTGCCTCTGCTCCCCTTCATGCCCTTTATGACCCCACCAAGCATGGCACTAATCGTGCCCTAACTGCGTCAGCCTGGAAGCAGGGCTGATAACTGCCGTGTTTTCCATGGCCCTTATCATTCCCAGGGCGAGGCAGGGTTTGTTTTAACCTCAGACTGGTGTCAGGCTGCCCGAGCACAGCACTGGCCCTGCCAGCTCCTCTCTCAGCTTCTGGCTTTGGGATGCTCCAGCTCAGTTCCATCTTACAAAGAGGGGAAGTGGGTCCCAGGGGATGTGAACACCCAGTTCCTTCCAGTGCTCCAGCACCCACGGAGAGTAATGCTGGTGCAGCCTTGGCGAGATCCATCCTTCTAAAGGTGCTCTTTCTCTCTCTCTCTCTCTCTCTCTCTCTCTCTCTCTCTCTCTCTCTCTCTCTCTCTCTCTCTCTCCAGTGCATCTGCAGGTCTTCCTCAGTGCAGGACTGTCCCTCCTCTGCCTCAGCATCCTCCTGGGCTGTACCATGTGCTGGTGGCACCGCCGGCGCCCGAGTCCCCGGGAGTGGGCAGCCCTGGAGCTGGGACCTGCTCTGCCTGCCATGACTGTGCCAGTGCCCATCCAGCAGCAGTACGAGGAGATGGCAGGAGAGGTGCTGGACAATCAGGCAAAAGAGGGTTCCTTGGCATCACCAGCATCCCGTGGGAGCTCGCTCCGTGTCAGAGCATCCTTGCCCACTCTCCCCTTCCTCCCACAGCTGGCAGGAGTGTGGCAGCGCCGCTGCACCATCTCCAGAGCCACGCTCCTCCTCAACAAGGAGAGCCCACTGGTCCACCCCACGGCAGGATTCCCACTGCCCTCCGAGCAGCGTCCCCAGCTCCACTGCCACTTGTCTTACTCAGCACCCGAGGCCATTCTCACCGTGACGGTTCTCGGCGTCTCCCACCTGCCCGAGGGGCTGCGGGACGAGCAGGGCTCCTACATCAAGGTGTACCTGGTGCCGCGGCTCCCGGCGTGCCAGCGCATGGCCGTGTGCCGCCGGAGCCTCCGCCCGGCCACCCTGGAGCCGTGCCGGTTCGGCCCACACAGCCCAGAGGAGCTGAGCAGCTTCACCCTGCGCTTCGCCATCTACGCCAGGTTGCGCAGCCTCAGGGACTCTTTTGTGGGGGAGGTCCTGTTCCCCTGCGCCCAGGTCTCTTGGGACCCCCAGGCCTCTTGCAGCTACACCTGGGAGCTGGCGAGCACCAAAACCAAGCGGAGGAAGGTCAGGATGGCAGCAGTCTCCAGCAGGGGGTTGTCCTCATGTTTTGGCTGAGGCCTGCTTGGTCTCAGAGCCCCAAAACTCCACGGGAAGAGGCAGAGCCTCCGGAGGCATCACCAATTATCCCTGTGGTGGGCTCCATTGTGGTACAAGTCCATGTCAGTGTCTCTCTGCATGGGGGCTTTGCACCTCTGATTCGGGGAGTGTGGGGGGAAGGGGTAAATGCAGAGCTGGCACCATCCTTGCGGTGATGGTGAGATCCACCTTCTTGACTCATTTTTGCCCATTCTTGACCTCGATGGGGGACAAGCTTCAGTGAGTTGGAAGATGAGGTTGGAGAAGGTTTCAGGGCGTCTCCTGCTCTCTCCTCCCATTCCAGTGCCTCAGAGCCCACAGCACGAGCTGCAGCGTCCTCTCCTCATCACCCAAATCCCTCGGCCAGCTCTTCCTTCTCCTCCAGTACCAGGCTCTGGCCAGCCGCATCAAGGTGCTGGTCCGCAAGGCAGCGGACCTGGGCCGGCTCTCACGCATGCCAGGCACACCAGGTAGGACTCAGGACATGGTGGACCAGGAGGTGAGGAGATGCCCAGGTGGGCACAGGCAATGACTTCTCCTCTTTTTGCATGGCAGATTGCCTTATTTCCTCTTGAACTTCTCTTTTCCAAGCATGGCAGAGGATTGGAATGAAATTATCTCTAAGGTCTCTTCCAACCCAAATCCTTCTGTGATTCCATGAAAATGAGCACAGGAAGCGTAGTTGTTAGGATCTAGATATCCCAAATATGGCCCCAAAAGGCTTTAAATATATGTATTTATGGTCAAAATTTAGCATGTGGCTTTCTGTTCTGCTGGCTGTTGTCGTCTCTGGCTCTTCCTGCCCATCTGAAGCCTGGGATGTGGGCAGGGATGAGAGCTGAGAACTTCAGAGGTCCCTGCTCCTGACAACAGAGGAGTAGGTGAAACCTCAGGAGCTGTCTGTGCTCTTCCCATGGTTCCACAGAGGTTCCGTAGCCCCCCTGGCATTGCTGGAGAATTTCCAGCCTCCCTTCCTGGCATGTGCCCAGAGCAGGTCCCTCTCTCCATGGCTCTGTCTCTGTTTCCAGGTCACTACATCATCATCCACCTTTACCACGATGGCTGTGTCATCGACACCAAGGAGACCAAGTCCACCAGCGGCTACAACCCTGTGTGGAATGAGCCTTTCCTCTTCAACATCCCTGCTGGGGACATCCAGCAGCAAGAGCTGGCATTGGAGTTCATTGTCATGCAGGTGAGGTGGATGGAGGTGACCACGGCTGTGAAAGTGACTTGGATCTCCTGGGGCACTCAGCCCCCAGAGGAGCCATTTCTTGATGCCCAAAGGAGGCTGCTGGGGTGGGATCACTCTTTTTGGGATGGTGGAAGGCCACCAGCCACGTCCCACTTCCCCTCTCCTGCCACAGGCTCGCCTCCACGCCCGCGGCTCCGCGCTGGGCTGCGTGCAGGTGGGGCCACGTGCCCCCGGGACCGGGCTGCTCCACTGGAGGGACATGTGCAGCCGGGGACCACAGGAGTCAGCACAGTGGCACCAGATCCAGCCCAACACCCCCAGACCCTGATTCTGCCCACAGTCCACAGACAGGGCTTGCCCAGAACTCAGGTGCCTGCAGGAGTGAGCCAAATGGGATCTCCGAGCCATGGAGAGGTGAGGTCTCACCCAAACATCACTGTGGGAGAAGTCTGGGCTCCAAATCCAGGACAGGAGATTGGTGGTGGCCACCACAACCTCTTCCTGAATGGCTCTGGAAGAGACTGAGCCTGTCTGAGGTGACTTCAATACTGGGGAGAGAAGAGGAGCCTTTCTCTCTTCTGTCCACCATCACCACCTCGGTGCTACACACGGAACCTTGGCCCTTGCAGGAGATGGGTGGGAAGATCACCCAGCTGGGAGAGCAGCCCCATGGCCACCACAGTGGATGCACCTGCTGCCCCTTCCAAGCCACCTTCACCAGCCCACCCTTCCCATTCAGCCCCCTGAGCTGGGACACACCTGAGAGAGGAGCCACAAGGACATGCTGATATTACCTGGTGAGAAAGGTGTCCAATGGCATTTTTAATTACTTGCTGACCCAAACAAGTGGTTGATAAAAAAAATAAAGGGGTCAGGGATGATTGCATGTGTGGAGTCATTGGAATTCTGTACTATCCATGGGCCGGCAGTGTCCATGGTCCACCATGTCCTCTGGAGAGGTGGCCTGGCTGAGAAGGGAGGTCACCTCTAGGGGTGGGAAAGACCAGACCCCTGGCTAGTGCTAATTAGTAAATTATCAGGACTGAGGCCCCTCTACAAGTGGGCTAATTGGACACAGAAACTCTTCCACCAGGTCCTCACCCCCAGGCTGTGACCCATGGGACAATCCCAGCTCCCAGCTCCATCTGGTGGAAGGAGCTTGTCTGCAGAGGCCACTGTGATGAAGACCATGAGGAGGGTCACCATGGCAAGGAAGGCCATGGTAGGGGTTGTCACTGTGGGAACCATCATGGTGAGGAAGGCAGTGAGAGAAGCCATATGATGAGGAAGGTCATGGTGAGGCAGACCACAGGGAAGAAAACCATGCTGAGGAAGAGGATGGCCATGCTGAAGGTAGGCTATGGTGAGGAAGGCAGCGGTGAGGCAGTCCATGAGGGTAAAGACCCTGGGGGGGAAGTCTGTGTGGAAGATAAGGATGGCCATGGAAAGGAAGGCCATGGTGAAGGTGATATTGGCCCTGACAACTACAGGGAGTCAGACCACGGGGATGAAGTCGTGCTGAGAGTCACAGTGAGGAAGACCATGGTGAGGAAGGTCATGGCAAGGAAAGATGAGGATGGCTGCAATGGGGAAGGCCACGGTACAGAGGCTGTAGTGAAGATAGCCATGGTGGGGGAGACCACGGAGAGGAAGGCCATGGGGAGGATGAGGACGGCCACAGTGGGGTAGACCACAGTGGGGAAGACCACGGTGAGTCAGACTACAGGGAGGAAGACCACGGGAAGGAAGCGGTGTGGAGGGTGAGGACGGCTGCAGTGAGGAAGGCCATGGTGGGGCATGAGGAGCCTGAGCGTTGAGAAAGGTCACTCTCCTCCCACCGCTTTCCCGTCGCGGTTTAACCCCGCTCCCGTCCCGCTCCGTCCCGTCCCTCCGGGGCGGGTTTACGGCCGGTCCCGCCCCGTGCCGTCCCTCCGGGGCGGGTTTAACCCCGGTCCGGGAAGCGGAAGCCGTGGCGCTGCGGGGCTGCAGGAACTGGGCCGGGCCGGGCCAGGCCGGGCCGCACCCGCCGAGCGCGGCCGGAGGGGCGGCGGTGAGACCACGGGGACACGGCGGGGACACGAGGGGAGGCGGGCGGGGAATGGGCCGTCCCGGGCAGGCCCGGCCGGGTAATGGCCCCGTAACCCCCGCTCCCTGCGGGACCCTCGGCTGCAAAGCGCCCTCCGGCATCAGCGAGCCCCGGGCGGGTTCTGCCAGGGCCGGGGTGTCCCCCGGGCCCAGCCCGCCTCATGCAGCACCCACGGGCGAGGGGTTTGAGACCTGGAACCCCCTTGTCCCCGCAGATGCATCACTGCAGGAGGTTCCGGTCCCCGGAGCAGGAGAGCGACCTGGGACACAGGTGGAAGCGGAGGCGGTCCCGGAGCAGGGAATACGAGGGCAGGCTGCGGTACCCTCCCCGCAGGGATCTCTCCCGGCGGTCGCGATCCAGGAGGTAGGAGCACTTCGGGGGCGGGTTATCCAATAAACCCTCGTCCTGATCCCGCTAGTGTTCCCGAGCTGGCATTCATCTCCTGACTACAGATCGGCTTTAAACCTGTAAATCCCAGGGATGGAAGTGAAGGGCTTACTTGTGTGTGTGTGCGCGTGCATCCTCCCTGCTATGCTAAAGTTCTTCCCGAAGACATGGCTTTAATATTAGCGAGGGAACAGCCTGCCCTGGAATCATGTTTCCATGCTGCAGAGGCCCTAAAGCCTTTCTCCCAACAACCCACTGCCCTGTGACGGGACTGAAATCAGATTTAAAATAAACAACAATTTAAAGTAACAACGCTCCTCCCTCACCTCAGAGAGGATCACAGCTAAAGAATCCGACCACTAACTGACCTCTCCTGCTTTGGTTCTGGATTTTACCTTTGATTCTCTCTTTGTTCAGCGTTTCTACGGGGACAATTAGGTGCTGGAAGCAGGATAAGGCCTCTGATAAGAGGAGGGTTCTGGAATAGAGGCAGGAGCCATGCTGCAGTGTGTGACCAGAGTAGGCTGTTGGTACTGGGGCTGTTGTGGTTCCACTGGTTGGACTGGGCAGGTGCAGCCAGGCTGGAGCTGAGCTCATCTTTAAATGTTCCCTGCATTAATTCCTCTCCTCAGCCTGGCTTTTGTTTACTTGGAGGAAGTGGATTGTGAAACACAGCTGGCACACGCAATGGACTTTTCCGTTTTTTCATCCAATGGGTAATTTGGGACAGATTTGGATTGAAATAGGCTTTTTTTTATTTTGGTGAAAACAGTCTTATCGCTTAGTTTCAGACTCAGCCTCTCAGGTCTTCTCTGATTTTGTGTCCTTCACGTTGTTACTCTGTTTTCTGTGTTAGTCCAAAGTGCACATTGGAGTTTCACCAGTGATGAATTGGTGAATAGATCGATGTTGGAGCAGAACCACATGGTTTGTGTTTTGAGTGGTTTAGCAAAGACTGAGAGCTACTGCTGCCTTGGCAGAGTCTGAAATTTTACTCTGGACCTGAGATGAACCCTCACACTCAAACCTGTGTCCTGTTAAGCTATCAGTGAGGGGAGCTGATTGTTGACAAGGCAGAGAGGTGCAAATAGCAAAAATTCCTGTTTCTAGGCTGAAGGTCTTGGTTAGTGAGGCCACTGCTGGGTGACAGCATCGACCTGGCCTGGCACATGCCCAGGATTATTTTGGGAAGCCAGTGCACTACTTTGATTTTCAGAATTATAACATCTTCTACCTGAAACACAGCCTCTTTCTCAGTGTGGTGTGAAGAAAGACTCGCAGTGAGATGTGGTTTGTCAGACCAGCTGGGGTGGAGAAGGCAGTTGTGCTTTGGGGGGCAGAAGCAGGAAGGGCTGTTCTCATCACTGATGTGCCCACATGGTACACAAAACCTCGTGTGTGATGTCAAGGATGAGCTTTGTCTGACAACTTCAGGTCCTTCCTGACGCAGAGATGAGCCTGTCCAAAAGTTTTCCTTACATGCTGTGAGGTTGTTGCTAGCAGGGCAGGAGCTTGGCTATACTTGGAGAGCAGATTTTCTTTCTGGCCCTTTCTAATGATCTGTGGGGCTGTGGTGTGTGTGTGTGCTCACTAAGGACTCGGTGTTTTGGGACCTCCAGCCCCCCCTGGGGTGACAACTGGAGCCCTCCTGCTGGGTTTAGTTCTCATTTATTTAAGAACTAATGAGAAACCTTCCTGAGGGAGGAGAAATGATGACAAACACTTGTGTGTTGTGGCGGAGGAGGCTTAGGTGAGGTGGAATCACAGAATCCCGGAATGGTTTGGGTTGGAGGGACCTTAAAGCTCATCCAGTTCCATCCCCTGCCATGTACAGGGACACCTTCCACTGGTCCAGGTTGCTCCAGGTTCCATCCAGCCTGGCCTTGAACACTTTGAAGGGTGGGAGTCCACAACAAGGTAGGCAGCTCAGATAGATGGTGGTTTTCCCCCAGCTCCTTGAAATGTGGGAAGGCCACACTGTTTTCTCTCACAAACCCCCATAGGGGTCAGTATTTGAGGCACGGCAGAGGGTTTGAAGTTCCTGCTACAGGCAGTGGAAGCAGGAGAACATCTTCTCTCTGGTGACTAGGTGAGAGGATCTAAGGGAACAGCAGGGAGCTGTGTCTGGGGAGTTTGGTTAGATATGAGGCAAAGGCTCTTCCTCCAGAGGGTGGCTGGGCACTGGAACAGTCTCCCCAGGGCATGATCACAGCACCAAGGCCGACAGACCTCAAGGAGCATTTGGACAGCGCTCTCAGGGTCATGGTGGGACTCTTGGGGTGTCCTGTGCAGGGCTGGGAGTTGGACTCGATGATCCTTGTGGGTCCCTTCCAACTCAGGATACTCTGTGGTTCTGTGACTTAGTTCCAGCAGGACTCAGCCTTCCGTGCTTTCCCAGGCTGGTAACAGCGCTGTTGTTTGTGCTGCAGCCATGAGAGGATGCCTTACCACAGGAGGTGCCGGCGGGACAGCGATGCCTACAGGTTCGAAGAGCGGAGCCCGTCGTTCGGGGAGGAATATTACTCGGCGCGCCCGCGGAACTGGCGGCGATCCCGGGGCAGAGATCAGCACCGTCCGAAGAGATACCAGCACCACTGCCGGAAACGCAGGAGCAGGTCTTGTAGCAGTACCTCCTCGGTGAGTAGCATCCAGAACGAGCTCAGGAATGGTCAGGGTTTTAACTGTTCTTGCCTCCTTTCAGCTCCGAACACTCTGGGTGAGTACCTTGAATCCTGTTTCTGTGTTTGTTCTCATTCTGTGGAATGTAAAGTCCCAAATCTGTGTCGTGTTAAGCGGGAAGCGTTCGTAGCTATTGGTTTTTTTTTACTGGTCTGGCCCCTGTAGCCTTAATACGTGAGGGAACTAAGCCGTGTTCTTTGCGGCCAGGGAAGGGATCAGGGAGAGCTTCCAAGGGCACCCACGTGACGAGCTGACGAGGGCGAGCCTTGGCTGCGGGCCAGCCCTGCTGCCAGCGATCCCTATTGCTCGGCTTTATCCCTGGCCAGGGCTTCGCTTCTGCCTACAGCTGCTGCTTCTCAGGGGGGGTTGTGGTATGCAGCATTCCTCGGTGTGGCTTTGTGCCAGGATCCCCTTCGGGGTGGGATCTGTCAGCCCAGGTCTCCGGAGTTGGTATTGACCCCTGTCAGTGCTTGGAGGCTCCCGCCTTCTGAGGACACGCCTGTGTCCCCTTCTGCTGTTTCCACTTGGATTTCAGCTTCTTTGCAAACTTAACCCCCGAAATGTAGCATTCCTTCCAAGGATTACCAGGGAATATTTGGAGCTGGGTGGGGATGCTGGTCCCAGGAATACCCTGTAAGTGGTGTGGGACCAAGAGGTTCACCGCTCCTCTCCTGTAAGGAATGCTCCCACCTCTCACTTTATCACAACTAAATGACCAAAGTCTGATCCCAGCATTATTTGGGATAATCTGCATGGCTGGGAACTCCTGAAATCTTCCTTTTTATTTCTTTCCAGTTGACTTCTTAATTTTAGCTTTAGAGAGAGCCAGGGCTGTGATGGAAACACTGCAATGTGGGGTGCTCACAATGGTGACGCTCTGCAGGTTTGGGCTGGCTTAGGCGCAGTCCTCTGAAGCCCCACAGCTCTCCCAGCTGTCCTCTCTACCCTCTCCATTTCAGCTGATTTTTCTGGGGGGAGTTTTGATCCTA